GGTGGTTTATTAAACATAGTGCAGGCAAGGGCACGAACGCTATGCTGTAATATTGTATGTGCCACCACTTGCAGAACTCTAATCGTGATTTACTGCAAAACTGTAAAAAAAAAAAAAACAAATTCTATTAAGAACTTACAGACTATAGAGTAACATATGTAAATTAGTTGGATTTTATTGTTAGTGTGTTGATTTGCATCTTGATTTACTGTAACTGCAAAAAATAAGAAAAATCCATTAAGAATTTACCGTCTATAGAGGTGACACATATATGGATTAGTTAGATTTATCGTTAGTGTATTGATTGTGACTATAAAAAAATTCTTACTCGCTGTAGTGACACGATAATGTGGATTAATTAGATTTATCGTTAGTGTATTGAGATTTACAGTAACTGTAAAAAAAAACAAAAATTATATTAACTTACTAACTGAAGTGGCACACAGTATGTAGATTAGTTAGATTTATCGTTAGTATATTTATTTGTATCGTGATTTACTGTAACTGTAAATATAAGAAAATTCTATTAAGAGCTCACGAGCTGTAATGACATATAGATTAGTTAGATTTATTGTTAATGTATTGACTTATATCGTGATTTACTGTAAATGTAAAAAAACAAATTCTATCAAGAACTTACAAGTTGTAGTGACACAAAATATGTGGATTAGGTAGATTAGGTTTATCGTTAGTGTATTGATTTTTATCATGATTTATAAAAAAATTCTATTAAGAACTTACAAACTGTAGTAATACGCAGTATGTGGATTATCGTTAGTGTATGATATGTATGGTGGTTTTTACCGTAACTGTAAAAAATTCTATTAAGGACTTACTTTCTATTAAGGTAGCACATAGTATGTTGATTAGTTATAATTATATAATTATTGATTTGTATTATAATTTAATGTGACTAAAAGAAATTCTATTAACTTACCCGCTGTAGTAACACATGTATGTGGATTAATTATAATTATATAATTATTGATTTGTATTATAATTTAATGTGACTAAAAGAAATTCTATTAACTTACCCGCTGTAGTAACACATGTATGTGGATTAATTAGAATTTACTTCTAACAAATTTTAAAGCCTAAAATTTAAAAATTTACATTAACACTTACGACTCTTCAGCTAATTTTTGAGCTTTTGTTGCCCATTCGTCACCAGGCTTAATTTCTAATAATTTCTTTAAGTCAGCAATTGATTCATTATATTTTTTCATTATATAATAAATTTCTCCTCGATATCTTAATGCTATCATATTATCTGGTTCAATTTCTATCAGTTTAGTTAAAGTTTCAAGTGCTTTATCATATTCGCTCATAAGGAAAAATATTTGTCCTTGAACACTTTGATTTTTTTCTAATGATTTTGTTAATTCACCTGTTGAATTAACAAGTATATGTTCATTTTCGCCCATAATACAATGAACCTTTTCTTGATATTTCAATAGTAAGATATTATTTGATTTTTCACTAATGCCTTTGTTTGTCATCACTGTTAATTGAAATAAACATACGAACGAAGTTAAATTCTAAATAACCTAAAATGATTAGATCCTTAGAAAAATTTACCAGAATATTTGAACATTTCACGGCCAAAATTTACTTCTACAGAACAGCCTTGCGATCTAAATCCAACACATGGATATATAGTATCTTTGAAATCATCAGGAAGATAACATGCAATTCCTTAAAGTATGTTATAAATATTACTTGCTTTGCTTTGTATAAAGTACAAAACTTAATTTATAAAGTGCTAATTACCTAAGTTGACACCATTTTTAGTATAAAATACTGTCTTTTTTATGAAGTTTATATAGCATCCAATAATGTCATCAGTAGTATATTTTGGTCCATACAGTTCGCCACTTCCAGAACAAAATGAATACCCATCGTCACCATGATAACCACATCCCCACGATTCATTTTCATTATTTTCCTTATACTCTTGTCCTAGGGGATATTATGTATGATATTGATATAAATATTTAATAATAAAAGAATAAAATAAAATTTTTCTATTACCTGGCATGAGTATGTTACAAATATAATTTGTTTTTACATTTGAATCGGCATTTTCTTTATTGTTTTGCTTTGTACAATATCCAACTCCAATCATTCTATCAATAAATAGAATTAAAGGTTCATAAAAAACTCATAAGAATAAAGGTGATATTAAATAAAATAATCATTAGCATACCCATTTATTCCTTTATTTATAATTTTAATTTCAAAGTAAAATATCGCACACTCTAAAGGAATTGGATGATTTGCCCGAATTATAATAGCTTTATTATCATTAGGGTCTTTAAAAGTTTTTTATAAATTAGTTGAACTATCATACTCTCAACAATTCGAGATGTTAATCAGTTTCAATGTGAGTCCATTATTAATTTACCTGTATAACTCACTTTAAGTCCACTTGAATCTATGTTAATAAATGGTGATTTATTTTCAATCTCCCACGCATTCGGCAAGACAATTTCATTGTATGGGGCTGGCAATTCTAAACCTTCCATTGAGTTAAAATTTCCTTAATAAATTCTAAAAAAGCGTAGAATTGTGATTTTGTACGTATTGTACGTACGTACGTACTTATATAACGATAATCGTACAACTTACACATCAGCACATAAATAGTTATGTACGTTGTGACAGTGAAAATCGTATGACAACAAAAACTAAGCTAACAAGGGTCGCTACCACGTTAAACCTAACACAAGGTTTACTAAAACTAATAAAATTCTTCCTCTACACCCTAATTGGTAGGCTTCGATCGAGGCGTGGATTGATTTGGTCCGAGAATAGGATGTTTTACGATACTACGGTAATCACGGGGACAAGACAATATAAACAAAATTCAATGACAACGTTACAACTATAGAACATTCAAAAGGAACTACTACTACTACTTATTCATGTTGAACACAAAGGTGAGTTCCCCCCTTATTTACTTTGAAATGATTGTTCTTAAATACTTTTTACACAGTACTAATTATACTACGAACTTTTCTGCCGTTACGATCATATCTGTTCTATATGACCTATCTGACATATACGACCTATCAGACATATAGGACATATATGACATGCCCTTTTGGCAGATTTTGCATATTTTGACCAATTTTGAGTTAGATCGATCTGAACCACTTCGGCATCGATCTGAACGATTTTTCCCCCTCACAACGTACATAATTATTGATAAATATGGGTAACATGAGTATAAACAGAAGTGGACATTTCCGCTTATACCCTACAATCTTGATATAGTCGTGCCTGAAGTTGGCATCTGCCTGAAGTTGTCACCTGCTAAAAACCGTTAGCTAGTGCAGGATAATCTAATTTCAGGGGCTTAATTTCAGTCATGTGCAAACTTCAGGCACCATCTTTAGTCGGGTGCCAACTTCAGGCACGACATAGTGACCAGGATATAATAAAGCTTAACGTTAATTGACGAATATAACAAATGTATTGACATCACTAATAAGATGAAAATTCTCGAGAATTCTAAAAAAATTAGTAAAGTATGAAAAGCTATTTAGGTGGAATTAAATCTCAAAGAAAATTGTGATAAACTTGATGCATTAATCCAAAGAGCATTTTGCATTGTACTTATGAAATTAAACGCTGCTCGCTTATAATTATTTCTAAAGGATAATTATTTCTAAAGATAGGGCGTTCTCAAGCGCCTTGATCAATGAACCAAAACGTGTCGGAAGTGTGTCAGGAATTAAATTTTAATTAGCAGAAAGTATCTTTGACCGATCAAACGTGCCTGCCATAACGTACAGGACACGTGGTTTATTTAAGTTAAAGAAAATTTCAATAGTGAAAAAATGATCAGCGTGTTTATTATTTCAGTCAAAAAATTTTTTGTCCAAACCACCATTTTTTTGCATTTGTTTATTAAACTTATGCTATTAAAGTAAATAGAGTTACTGTTCAAGCGTTTTCATGTTTTTTTTTTATTATGATATTCGTTATCAACACACTAACGTAGTGCCGTTATATTATTTTTTATTTTATAAACCATTTAGAATTTACTCAAGTATTGAATGAATTGAGGTTTTTACTTTGATCTATCGTAGTAATTGAGCATCACCACAATTATTAGTAAATTATAGGAATAGTAATACTTGAGCGTATTTCGATCATATCGTCATTCATATTATTGACTTTTATCTAAAATGTTATGAGAATAGGTAAAATTACGTCATAATACTTGTGCACTATTTCGATAACTATGAAATTACACCCATAATTATAACACTTAGGATATTCTTGAACTATAAATATATAGTATTAAAAAATGGGTGAAAGTATTAAAAATAATTAGGTATTTGAAATATTCAAAGGATATATTAAACAGAAATTTGAGTGTTATTTCATGAATATACGGTAACTTACTATGTGTATTTGTATTTAATCAGGCTTTCCGCTCTTAAACATGTAACAATATTACAATAATTTGCTGATTTGAGGAATTTGACCTTCATTTAAATCCTCAACTATATCTACTCTTTTACTAGATTTGGATTTTAAATACTAGTTTCGATTATTACGTATCGGACTTTATATAACTATGAACTGGAATTTGCAAATAAAGATCTAATTTTTAATTCCCAAAATCCGCCAAATTGACTATTAATATAAGTGGTACTTGATATCGAACCCAGATTATCAAATACATATTGAATTTATAAACTTTTTATCATCAAAAGTCTTAAAAATTATTACACATACATGTCGAGTAACATTGGATATATATTGGATGTTAATGTGATGGGGTTAATTAAGCATTAATATTAGAGTTTTATTACGCTAATTTAATATTCATCAGTTATGTGATGTATACACAGTTTACACACAATAATTGCTGTTACATATTCAACTATCGCAAAGTTTCCAATCTTACATTCTCATAATTCTTTTGATCTATAAACCAAAATTTTTACAATTATTAATAACAAAAGAAATTAGTTTATTTAATTAAGTCACATTTTAAAGAGAAATTCAACATGTACTTTTTCCAAAGCTCTTTTGAACATGCTTTTACAATTATCTGCAAATCTTTTCACTGATTCAACAAATACTTCAAATTTTAAAACTAGCCATTGGGTAAATGAAATTCGAGACCATTCTTTTTTTAACCATCTTAAAGTTCTATGTTTTAAATAAGCTTAGATTTATTTAATGTGAATTAAATAAGCAAAGATTTATATACATACTGGTCATCAAATAAGTCATTAAGTTTGTTCTTAACTGCTCTATACTCAACAAAGTATTTATTATTGGTTTGTTCGTTTTTATCGAAATTTGAAATAACCATGTTGATAGGCGTGAATTCAGTGGCTATCCATCCATTAGGAATGCAATGCCATTCGATAGTATTGGTATGATAAGTTCCATCTCTAACAGTATATCGGATCATTATATATTTATTGCGCTCTTGAGTTTTAATGAGAAATGCATGATTCTCTCTAAGTGGAATCATTGTTTTTCGTGTGCAGATGGCAACTTTTGCATACATTTTATCTTGACTGTATATGATTGAGAAGATAATAAATTCTCGACTGTGATAGATGCTATATATATTTATAGAAACCTTTAACTTGGTACAATTATGCTTTATATGACTATAAAATATTGACTATTGAATTTATTTAACTTTGGCACATTTTTCACGACCAGGTACAATGCAAACTATCCGAGTAATAGATTTACTCGGGCACAATTTTAGTAAATATATCATGCCCAGCTAGTAAATTATGTCGATTAACAATAAAAATGCTGATTTAATAAGCTGTGCGAAAATTACATTTTTACATTTCATGAAATTTTACACAAGTTTCATAAATTAGATTTCATATAATTATATGTGCCAGCATTAATTTCATCGCTTATGATTCACATTGTAGCTCAACTATTACGGATTTAAATTAAAAAAATAATTTACAGTAGGGAACTGACATTTATTACGTAAATATAACCCCTTTTCGGAGTTAGCCATTTAACAATTACAAGTTCTAAAGTATCATAATATAAACTTTATATGATTGATTATTTTAGAGCTTGCAATTGTCGAACGATTGATTATTTAGAACTTGTGTCAAATGACTGACTCTAAGGGGTTATATTTATGTAATAAGTGTTGGTTTCCTATATGAAATTCTAATTTACCAAAATTTAACGTTAAAGTTACGCAAAATTACAGAAGAATCTCTGAAATTTATCACTATCAACACGAAATCACGGGATCACACCTTTTTGCAACGTTATAATAATTTATAGGAAGCAAATTTACATATATTTTAATTATACAACGTAACACATGAAGTGCCGACTATTTACTGCTTGAGTACGTTACATGATGACTGTAAATTTTTCGAGACTTTTTCAGAAAAGGTATGTACCTGACAATCAACCAGAATTATAGCTAACCCTAGTTAACTTTATCAGAATTATGTTCTTTCAGAAGATGATATTTGGAATTTAAGTTATGCGTACCACCGTCTTGCAATACAATTTTTTTTACATATATTATCGTTATAGCTCATGCATATGCTCATGTAAAGAAAAAAAATTTTTTTTTTTTAAATAACATATTAAATTATATTAAATTTGTTGGTTTTAACATTTAAGAGAACTTCATGGTTTTTAAATTTTCTTCTGAATTCGGCAGTTTTTTTCGAATTTAGATTTTATTAGGTATCTACGTGCTCTCATTATCTATTTTTACCTGTTTGGTTTGTTATTTAATTGTGCTGTGTTCCTTTTTTCGTATTTTGTATCATGTTTTGCATAAGATTTGCAATCGAAATTTTCTCTTAATCTATAAGAAGAAATGTGACTTAATTAAATAAACTAATTTCTTTTGTTATTAATAATTGTAAAAATTTTGGT